TTATGGTTATTGTTATTTTTATTTTGTCTGTCGCTTGCCCCATTATCCTGACAGCGGTTTTGCATCCTTTACAACCCAGACATCGCCACAAGACTAACATTATCACTAAGAAACCGACAAAACGGAGAACCCAGTTGGTTATTTTTGTCAGTGAGAGAGAGAGAGAGAGGGAGAGAGAGGGAGAGGAGAGGGAGAGGGAGAGAGAGAGAGGGAGAGAGGGAGAGGGAGAGGAGAGGGAGAGAGAGAGAGGAGGAGAGAGAGAGAGAGAGAGAGAGAGAGAGAGAGAGAGAGAGAGAGAGAGAGAGAGAGAGTGAGTGTGTGTGTGTTGTGTGTGTGTGTGTGGTGTGTGTGTGTGTGTGTGTGTGTGTGCGTGCGTGTGTGTGTGTGTGTGTGTGCAACAGGAACAACGAAGGGAAGGACAAGAAAAACACACGAATATGCCGAAGGCCTTTTCGCTAATGCTTCGTCAGGGCATGCATGGCAAGAGATACACGGAGTAGTATTAAATATATAGAAAGCGTGGTCATTGGTTTCTTCCTTCGAGCCCTCAGAATATGCAGCCCTGAGTTCTTGGAGGAGGAAATGCAACACGTCTGCAACACTTTCCAACATCTCCATTATCCTCGCTCCATGCTCACCCACCTCCGACGCAAGGCCGAGAAGATCATGAGCAGATCGAGAGGTGAAGACACACAGGACAAGACTCAGAGAATAATCATCCCTCACTCGGAATTGACTGGACACCTGGAAGGCCTAGTGGGAGGGAGGAAGGAGGGAGAGAGAGAGGGAGAGAGAGGGAGAGGGAGAGGGAGAGGGAAAGAGAAAGAGAAAGGAAAAGAAAGAGAAAGAGAGAAAGAGAGAGAGGAGAGAGAGAGAGAGAGAGAGAGAGAGAGAGAGAGAGAGAGAGAGAGAGAGAGAGGAGAGAGAGAGAGAGAGAGAGAGAGAGAGAGAGAGAGAGAGAGAGAGAGAGAGAGAGAGAGAGAGGGGGGGAGGGAGAGAGGAGAGAGAGAGAGAGAGAGGAGGGGGAGGGAGAGAGAGAGAAAGAGAGAGAGCGAGGAGGAGAGAGAGAGAGAGAGAGCGGGGGGAGGGATGCGGAGATGGAGAGAGAGAGAGAGAGAGAGAGAGAGAGAGAGAGAGAGAGAGAGAGAGAGAGAGAGAGAGAGAGAGAGAGAGAGAGAGAGAGGGGGGGGGGAGTGAGGGACAGAGGAACAGAGGAAAGAATGTGTAGATAGGTCTGTAAAGAGGGTGAGAGAGAGAGAGGGAGGGAGGGAAAGGGAGAGAGAGATATAGACCTTTGCCGTGTCCTCTAACGTCCTTCAAAATGAAGGTTAACGTGGCAGTCTTTTTATTTTTAATTTTTTACACAGCAACATTATCTATACGGCCTGTTCAAAAAAAAAAAAAAAAAAAAAAAAAAAAAAAAGAGAGAGAGAGAGAGAGAGAGAGAGAGAGAGAGAGAGAGAGAGAGAGAGAGAGAGAGAGAGAGAGAGAGAGAGAAGAGAAGAGAGAGAGAGAGATCAATGCAAATGAGTAATTTTTCCTAGGAAGACAGATAAATAATTCAAGACGATGTTGGAAAAAAAGTAAGCTCGTTATCTGCATGAGTGACAAAACACAAAGGGATAATACCATTAAACCTACTAATTATACTGAAAAAAATGAAAACATTTTCAGCCACAATCCAGATAAAAACATAAATACAATACAAACATTTCCAACTAACAAGGTGGTTTTACGAATCTCAAAAACACGTACAAACCTCTATAACATCTCACAGACAGATGAAGAGGCTACCACAGACTCAAGGGCAGCCAAGGAATTTCCTGCAACTCCCAAAACCCTCATTATTAAAGGATGCAGCTGTTCCCCTATATTTATCCTCGCACTTGTGGACGAAAGTTACATGATGGTCGAAAATGGAAAATCTTGCCTTTTCTTATTCCTGGGAGGAAAAACTTGCACCTGGGTCGAAGGGACTGACTTATGGGGAATATTTTTAAATTTTAGGAAAAATAAAACGAGAAAGATGGACTGACGGTATATATATACATTTTAATGATAGATTAAAAGGATAGTAATAAAACTAGAAAATATGATAATAATGGTGGTAATGATAGTGAAATAGTGATAATGATAACAGTAATCATAACAACAATAATAATGATAATGATGATAATACAATTATCATTATCTTACTATTATTATCATAGTAATAATAATGATAATTCTCAATGCTATTGTCACAATCATTATCAAAATAAAAGTAATAATGATAATAATAATAACAATAATGATAATGATAATAATAATAATAATTATATAATTGATATCAGACAATAATAATAATAACTATATTAATATCAGACATATAATATCCTAATATTAATATCAGACAATAATAATAATAATTATGATATTAATATCAGACAATAATAATAATAATAATAATAATATAATAATAATAATAATGAAAACAATAATACTGATAATGGTTATAACA